CCTATCCATAACGCCCTAGTTTTGTCAACATTAATTTATAAACCAGAGATATCTGCATAAAATTTTAAAACTTTCATAGTATGAACGAGGGATTTTTCAGAACCGTCTAATATCAATGAGGTGTCATCTGCGTATTGTGACATCAAATACTCTATACCCTTAATTTTGATACCTTTGATATTACTATTTTTTTATAAGTAAAGCAAGAATCTCCGCGCACAGGACAAAAATATACGGTGACAGGGGGTCCCCTTGTCTACAACCTCGAAATAAGGGGAACCAGTCGGAGAGGTGGCCATTAACAACAACAGATGATTGTATATTTGTATAAAATAGTTTTACCCATGAAACAATAGAGTCACCAAAGTTGAAAAATTTCAGAACCGAAATCATAAAGTCCCAAGACACGGAATCAAATGCCGCAGCGAAGTCGACTAGATTTTTCTAGTAATATCATTCCGGGAATATTATTTTGTTCAGTATAAAACATTAAGTCATAAATTAAACGAATATTATCTCCTATAAATCTCCCCGGGATAAATCCACTTTGGTCTTCACTTATCAATTTGTCTAATACAGATTTAATTCTATTGGCAATACACGCGGATGCAATTTTATATGTAATATTAAGTAGGGAAATCGGACGCCAATTTTTTAAGAAACGTTTATCTTTGTCACCCTTCGGTATACATGTGATAACACCTAATTTATCGGATTGCGAGAGCTCTTCTGTTTTATATGAGTAATTAATTGAACGCAAAACAAAATCTCCTATATCAATCCAGAAGAATTTAAAAAGCGCCGAAGTAAAACCATTTATCCCAGGCGAAGTATCATTTGCTATTCGTTTTAAACTTGCCAAAGCCTCTTCTCGAGAAATGAAACCCTCTTAACTATTTTTTGTCGTCCCGGAAAGTTTTGTTACATTTATATCAAGAAACAGGTTATCTTAATTAACTGTCTTAGTAATCTTTGCAGAGTATAAGGACTTATAATGATTCATAGTTTCCTTTAAAATAGCTTTTTGATTATTTATAATTTCACCCGTCTTGTTAAAAAGGGTTGCCATATTTTTTGAAACGAAATGCCTATTTTCTAGATTACAAAAGTATTTGGTCGGTTTTTCTTCCTCTAATACCCATTTTGCTCGTGATCTTATTAAAGAACCCTCTAACCTTTTTTTCCTTATATCTTGCAGTTCTTGTTGCTTATTTAACAAGGCATTTTCATTTTCTGTATTAGTGCATTGTTGTAAAATTTCAATGTCTTTAATAAGTGTTTTCTCATTGATATTGTCCTGTCGTTTTTTAAAAGTGGCATAAGAGATTGTGTGACCGCGAATTTGCATTAACAATGTCTCTAAGAATAACTTATCATCAAAAGATAGCGAAATATTTTGATTAGTAACAGAGTCGTTTACTGATTGATTTTGATCATCCGAGGCATACTGTTGAATAATACGCTGTACTAATTGTTTAATTTGTTTAACATACTCGACATCTTTCAATAGCGACTTATTAAATTTCCAATAGGATTTACCTGCCTTAAATTCACCCAGTTTTAATGTTAATATAACAATTGAATGGTCCGAGCGATAACCCGGCAAAATACAAGTGTCCGCAATATCTAAAAATAAGTCGCTCGAGATCAAAAACATGTCTAAACGCGCTTTTTTTACTGGATTACGTTTAAACCATGTATATTGTCTAGATTCTAAATTCTGTTCACGCCAACAGTCTATTAAATTGTGTTTCAAAATAATACTTAATACTGTGTCTCTCGCCTTCGGATTATTTATGTTAACATAATTAAAACAGTCAATATCTGGGTTAAGTACTAAGTTGAAATCACCCGCAATTATACATTTATTATTCAGACGACGGAGTATCTCATTTAAACTGTTATAAAATCCGGATCGTCTCTATTTGGGCCATAAACACATATTAAAGACATATCTATACTTGCTATAGCGCAATGTACAACTAAAAGATTCCCCGCGTTGTCTTTTTCAACGGAGTGTAATTTAAACTCAAAGTTGTTGTTGATTAAAATGGCAACACCTCTCGACTGACTACTATAGTTGCTAAAGTAAGCTTCATAACCCCATTGACTTCTAATAATTTTAGATTCTTTGTCTGTAAAGTGTGTGTCCTGCAAAAAATAAATATTAAATTTCTTATCACGAATATAACCAATTACATCTTTTCTTTTCCGACTGTCCCCGATCCCCTGTACATTTAAACTAGCTATTGTTATACCATTTGACATTCTAAGTCAGAATCAGATAACCTTTGTATTGCCATGAATACTCGACATTTGTTTGAAAGAAGTAAAATACCATATAACAAAAGTACCAAATGTAAATCAACTATGATCAATTTTTGAAGACACGTACATATTGAACAAAAAAAAGTGAATGATTGACTCATACTTTAAACAATGAAAAACCCGTTAAGTGGAGATTTTATAATGATGCTTAACTAAGCATTATATATAAACAAAAAAAAAAAAAAATTCAGAGGTAGCAAAAAATACCGCTGACTAAGGTTTAATCTTGCTTAACGTCTAACTTAACACAGCAGTTTGTATGTAAATATGTATACAGTACTTTGTTGTGTATAGTGTATAATACATTACAAATATTTCTTAATGTATGAACACAAATTTTAAATTTTCAAAAAGTTCATGTTTATATTTGTTAATTGCGCCTGTTAAACTAAATAACCTTACTTTTGTAATTAAGACATATATTACATTTAGATATGCACAAAAAATCTCAAGTATAATTTCAGTGTTCAATGTATAAATAACATTAAACTAATGTTTAGAAAAATATTTGCATGGTTGCTTTATTTGTACCCTACAAAAAAACAAAACGAAACAAAACAATCATCTACAAGTATATGTAGTTTTTGAGTTTATAAAGGCACATCATCATATGTAGTTTGTGAGTGCAGTTATCACAAATGCACTGTATCTTAAACAAAATGGCTTTTGTACATATGTGTAGATGTACACGAGTTTCAACATCATTAAGTAATACCGCTTTCAAAGGTAAAAAATTGGAACCTTTACCTCCAATATCTAAGTAAAATTTAATTATATTTGTCTCAAATAAAATAATACCTTAAACAAAGTGTGACTTTTGTAAATATGTGAAGATGTTCATGAGTTTCGACATCATTAAGTAAAAACGCTTTCAAATGTAAAACATTTGGAACATATACCAATATCAAAGTGTAAATTTAATTGTATATGTCTCGAAAAATATACATGTAATACCTTAAACAAAAGGTTACAACGGAGAAAAAATTCGAACATATACATACAATATCAAAGTATTAATTTAATTGTATATGTGTCGAATAAAAAAAAACCCTTAAACAAAGTGTGGCTTTTAAACATATGTGAAGATGTACATGAGTTTCGACATCATTAAGTAATACCGCTTACAACTGGAAATAATTGGAACATATACATACAATATCTCAGTATAAATTTAATTGTATATGTGTCGAATAAAATAATACATCATTAAGTAACACTGCACGTGTTGTGAGTATCATAAACGAGAAACTTAACCTGAATATTAAAATGGAGGATATATGCATTGCGCATAGGCTGGGACAGTTTCGTACGGACGGAAACCGGGTCGTGATATGTAAGTTCGTGCGTCGTTCTACGAAGAAGAGTGTTATACGTGCTCGAAGGAACTTAAAAGGCTCGCGAATAGTGATCAGAGAGGATTTGACATAAAAAAACGCTAAACTTGTACAAACATTATTGAACCGCGAGGATGTTAAATCTGTGTGGTCTGATGAGGGGAAAATATTTGCCATATTGTCAAATGGTAATAAGATAAAGTTGGATATTCAAACGGATTTGTCGAGACCTCTTGCTTAAAAAGAACTAAGTGATAAAAACTTGATACTGTATTAAATATAAATTCAAATTGGCTTGACTGACATTTTATCATTTATACACTTGCAGAAATTCTATAAATATATATATCGATAGTTTTCTATTGAATACTTATATATATGATTCGTTTATACTTTTCTCACTCTTTGTATTTTATATTCGATTGAACATAAAGAGAACTAGTGAGTGACAAAACCTTGATATTTTTACGGCATGAAGTTATCAATATAAATTTAATTAAGCCTGACTGAAAGTGTGGGATTTATACACTTATTGACATTCTACACATATATCTATATATTTTATTGAAAATTCATATAAGTACATATGTGCGATTTATACCTTTTACACTCACTGTTTTTCATATTCAATTTAACAGAAATTTGAGTTCTTTATACTTAGATATTGGATGTATATGCTCCAAATTTTTTTCCCGTTGAAAGCGGTATTACCTAAGCAATAACATCATATTCGAGGCTTTCAATCACCATTGTATTAAAGCTATTAGAAGCAAAACATTTTATTAGATAAAATCACTTTATATAGCTTTTTATCTTCAGTGGCCGAGAGGTTAAAGCTGTTGACTTCAAACCACCTACCCTCACATCAGTGGGTTTGAATCCCGACATGGACTTTGGATTCTTTCAACTGAGGAACCTATCTAGCTTGCTTACGGAACTTCGGTGGTTCTACTTCCCGTTTGTGCCTGAAATAAGGCAGGGGACCTAAAAATGAACAATTTGGTATTTCAGTGTGGCCAGAAACATAATTCAAAATATTTCAAAATCTGTTTCACAGGCAGATAACCAGTTCACAGCATTATTCAATGATATATGACATACATTGAAGAAAATAATAGTTTGCATGCATTGCTCCTTAAAAAAGACTGACAGCAACTTATATTTTCCCCCACCCAGCCAAAATCACACCTAAAATATACCAATATTGGCAATCTTCATGAATAGTATACTTCAGAATCCGCCCGATTGCTTTAAACATATCACTTACACGCAGTGCAAGCTATGGCATTTTCAAAAACGACCAATAAAGTTGTGATTTTTCACAAGATTTACCCAACTGTCAAAGCTTGATTTTTAAACTTTTTTACCTCCATTCGGAGAGTCACAAATACATACAAAGCTACCAAAATGCTTAGTTTCGGGTAAAAATCCAAAAATACTGCTCATTTCCTACACACAAACAAGAAAGAATTACAATTACAGAGAAATATCAGAAGTTTCCAGTACCTTTAAAACACCATGTCTGAGTTATTAAATCATTCGAATATGTCCCCTGCCTCCTTAATGCATGAAAGGGCACCTGTGGTCATCATCCACCAGTAAAGCTGGACGTCGCCATATGACCTTTACTGTGTCGGTGTGACATAAACTAAATCAAACAAAAAGTATGTAAAATAGAGTTTACATTGTAAAGTTTCTAAATACACAATCATGTAAGTAAATGTGCTTGAATGCCAATTCATAACCCAGTTTTTATGCGGTATAATAGTTTTTTAAGCTTGATTATAAAGCAGGTTCTTGCAACTTTAATCAAATTGAGATTGCTTCATGGAACTATGCAGAACTAATTTTCCTTTTTTGGGGGGGTTGTAATGTGGTTCTGTTTGGGTAACTTTAATTGTCTTATTCCCTTCATAACCTTTCTTGTAAAACTGAATCGATCGCAGGTTTGTTCCCAATTCATTTAGTATAGACCTCAAACTTTCTTCTCTATCATAATCTGTCCAATCTAGATGTTCATACAGTCTTTGTTTGCGTATCAACGAATCTTTTGAATGTCGACAATATTGTGCTACCTTTTTCACTTGGGACCATTCCTGAAGTGATGTTTTAAATAATTATACGATAAAAGTAAATGTTAAGAAGACAACAAGGCAATGCTTACACATAACATGAAATGTACCTCAAGAAAACATAGTACATGTATTTGCTACTTATGTAAGACAAATATTGAAAATAATAAGATTACTTAGTTACAATTAAATAACAACTTTTTTCTCGTACATGGATAATTGAATAACAAGTTAGAATTTTCAATCTTCTTATATATTACTTGAAAAGTGCTATAACAGTGAGCTAACGTCATTGTAACATTTAAAACATGTCAATTTTCCAAAATGTATTAGTCTTATCAATTTCTGATGCTAGCCAATATATTAAATATGTTTGTCAAGGAGATATAAACATAAATTTATTCTTATTTCCCAGATATAAAAATCAGCATAATACAATTAAATATCAGGAAATTACCCAATGATATTCTTAAGAATAATTATGCTTTAAAAGATTGCTGCAGCACAATAAATTTACTAACTCACTGTAAAAGAATGTTAATTGATATTGTTTATATAGAAAATGTTTCATAAAAATAAACCAAACCTCTGTAAGAGATAAAAGATCCAGTGACTTTCGGATATTTGCACTATCGATGTGACATAAACCCGTGTTTAACCGAGATAGAGACATTCGTATCCGTTTTATTTGGACAGTCATGCACTCCAAATTAACCTGTATCCGTTGAAGGCACCACAAAGTTACACGCCTGCCTATCAAATACAATTCACAAGACTTATTGCATTTATATGCATTTATCATTTATTGCATTCACTGTTCTTACTTGCTGGTCATTTTGGGATAACAATTTTAGGTAAATATCCATCACTTCTTCTAAAGTAAGATGTCTAATCATTATGTTTGTCATAAAACATGATAAGCATTGCAGGTCTGTCTAACAAATTTGAAAACGCTGACTTATTTTCTGTATGATAGCAAAAAAAATGATGAACAATTTCTAAAAACATGGTACAATCAATTTTGATATTTTTCAGTAAATTTATATTTATTGCATTAACTGTACGTATATTTCTATAACCTCAATCCGAAGGTCATAGTTTGATCATTACAAAAGTCCACTGAAAGTTTAAGATTATCTTTTTTCTCTTATCAAATGATAGGTTTCAAATGTTATTTCTCTAACAAAGTCTTGTAACAAATGTAAAAAAGAAAGGGTGCAATATTTGACATAAATGGTATCAATCATATAACTTTTTTTAATTCTAGGGGTCTACAAAGCAATGTCAATTAATATAAAAGTCTATGTTACTTTTTTCTTGTCAGTCAAATAATTAAGTAACAGAAGCGTTAATTTAATAACTCCTTATCAATCAAAACTATTCTTCATAAATTGTAAGTACTGTTACAAGTTATACTACAAGTGCAAAAATGTTTGCATTCAGTTCTGATAAATATTTTAATTGTATTTGATTGAACTAATACTGAAATAACTTTTATTCGGTCTTTGGAATGTTTGATGTTTAAAACAAGAAATCTAAGACAATCGAAGGGAATGTTAATTTAAATTGAAAATAATGAACGAACAACTTTGTCTGCGTCATGCTTACTCTAAAACTGCACATGGACTTTATTCTTAGAAACAATTATATTTTTTTTCATTTCTGGGGACAAACATGGTGTGACCATCAATGTCGTTGTATGTCAAGTTTAATTTCTTGCATAAAGTTTACAAATGATTCAAATTAGAATAAAGTCAGCCAATAGATCACAACTGTCACAAACGGATGTTAAAGTTCAATACCATAAACAAACAGATTGAAGATCCATACGTATATCCTCTGTTTAAATCACATTTCAATTTCCAATAGACATAAAAAAAAATTTAATAATAAATTAAATCACTTTTAATTTTAAAGCTGTTGAATACATTATAAAACAAGAAAATTTACCTCGCACTTGTAAAGACGCAGTCGAAACCTGTTTGTCGTCAACCTTTATCAGTCCGCCCTTTTTTCGATCTTTTCCTTTATTTTGGGTAAGAGACATACTACGCCTTAGTTCATCTTCATTTGGTTGCTTTAGGGATACTCTTGATGATTGTTCTATTTTGCCTTGTAGTTTAAGATTCTCAATCAGTTTTGTTTCACGATGTGAAGTTAACTCTGACAAGAACGCCTTAATGTCTTCCACAATATTTGTGTCACGCTGAAGTAAGATAATACAAATATCTTATGAATATTAACTAAAGTATAAATGTCAGAAAGCATATTATTTATAAAATTAAAAGCTGTATTCAATTGATATATGGATGTAATATCTCCAAAACATATGTAAAACAAAAATGAAGTAAAAAATCAATATGCTTCTTAGTATTTGCTCTTTTTCTTCTCTGTTTTAATTTTACTAATAAAGCCCTAAATCGCTCGGGGAAAATGCATTGGTTCTAATAATGGAATAATTTGCAGAAATTTGAATATTTTTATTAACTCGTCAGTAGATTTTGAAAATTATAAATAGTAATTAAAGATAATTACATTGAAAAGAATTGTTACAAAATAACCTCAGGTTATATAACAGACATTTCAATTTGTTTGTAAACAATTTAATAATCTGAATATGAAAGGGGGAATCTTAATACTTTCTTTTAAAAGAAAAAATCTTTATATAGTGAGGAATAGTATTACATAATTTTGAATTAGTTGATCTTCAAAACTCAGAAACTGAGGGCATCTGTTGTCAGGTCGCTGACTTCAAAACTTGTGGTCATTTACTATGTTTGTGCGAAATAAAACCCAACAAAAAAGGCAAAAAAGACAAAATGTTTTTACACAAGCAAAGGCTTAAATTCTAACCCTCATCTATGCTTTGAGTAGTTAAGGGTGAACCCACCAAATAAAAATGCAAAAAATAGATTAAGATCAATATCAATCGGAACAGCTCGGCTATTTTCAATAGTAACCTCTAACTTAATACATATTGGACGTAGTTCTACCACGTAGTTATAGATGTTAACAAAAACAGAGGGTTAGTCTTTGATAATGTTTTATAAGGATTGTGAATATTTGACATCTAAATGAAAATAAAGTCTATTTCAGCCATAGAATTATTATTGAAAATATATCTTAGTATCATAATCGGTTTACAAATGCCCACTGATGTAGACTTATGAACAAATTCGAATTAATGTCAACTGACAGGCATTTTGCACTTTCTACAACACAACCATAATAATATTAACATAAATAATGTACTGTCTACTTATATATCTATGAATGTGCCGAATGTTGTTTACTCTATATATTGGAATAAATTTAGTCAACAACTCCCAGTATCAAATTACTGTTTGTTTCATATTTAGTTTCTTAGAGGTGGTTAGACCGAAATATCGTATCCGTCAAGTCTATTGTGTTCGAGGTCCATATCCGAAGACTTTTTTGGAAAAATATTACATCATATTTCAACAAATTGAAATACTGAAACTGATAAAACTTGGAGGAGGAGTATTTCAGAGAATATATATATATATATATATATATATATATATATATATATATATATATATATATATATATATATATATATATATATATATATATAGTATATAGTCATATACTTTGTACGTTATTCTGATGCAGACAACAGTCGAAACTAGTAAAGAATAAAAAAAAATGTGTTGTTTTGGTGTATTTTAACAGAGAATATAAAGGAAACACTTGTTTGAAAAAAATAACTTTAGAGTCTCCTTCAGTCTGTCTGTGTGTATTTCTGTCTGTCTGTCTGTTTATAAAACTGTTTCCTGAGATCACTTTTAAAGATTTTTTCCAACAAATTTATTTAAAAAAAAGAAAAGTTGAAACATTAGTTATTCTTATTCATCCTGAGAAAATTGGACATTTTGATTATCTGTTGTATAAACATAATTTCCTTACTAGGCAGGGAAACGTAACACATTACTGTGATATAGACAAACTTAGAACTCAAAAGATTTAAGTTCATTCATGTCATTCATTCACTGGTAAAATTGAATGGCCAATGGCCCATCAGAATGTTACTGGGGTTCTAACCGGTAGGGGACTTATGGATTGCTTGCAATACTATGATAATTGCTTGTTGTGTCGCCTCTACGGAGTAGTGGCGACATATAGGGATCACTTCTCCGTCGTCTGTCTGTCCGTCTGTCTGTCTGTCTGTCTGTCCGTCCGTCCGTCACAAAACTTGTCCGGACTACTCCTCATAAACTACTGGTGCAATTTCATCCAAACTTTACAGGAATGATCAGTACCAAGTCTAGTTGTGCATATTGTCAGCATTTTCCGGTTCAATGATTTTTGTCAGAGTTATGGCCCTTTAATAATTTTTAATTTTAAAGTTTGTCCGGACTACTTCTCTTATACCACTAATGCAATTTCAATGAAACTTTACAGGATTGATCTGTAGGTCAAGTCCTCGCGCATATTGCACGGGTTTTCCGGTTGAATTATTTTTGGCCGAGTTATGGCCCTTTGATAAAAAGGTGTTTTTTTCTGTGTGTTGCCAGATACGCAAAAGCTTGTCCGGACTACTCCTCATAAACTACTGGTGCAATTTTATCCAAACTTTACAGGAATGATCAGTACCAAGTCTAGTTGTGCACTGTCCGTCTGTCTGTCCGTCTGTCACAAAATTTGTCCCAACATGAAATTGGCCATCATGAGGCGACACATGTGATTACTGATCGCTTTTTTAATTAATTTTTAAACTAAAAAAAGACCCCTTTTAAAAACCCCTAATAAATTTAATATTTTTAAACCACCTTTTTTTTCGAAATAATCTTTTTTAAATAGGGGTAAAATTTCAATTTAAATTTTAAGGGTTTTAAAGTCGCTTGGGGGCTAAGTGTCCTGCTAAATATTTGGGGGGGAAATTTTTCAAGGGGGGTCGTTGTGTAAAAATAAAGATTAAAAGTCGGTCAAGGTTTAACATTTCAATTTATAAATGTTTTTAAAAAATTGTCCTAAATTAAAATAGTTCATTCAAATTTTTAAATAATTTGACAATTGAGGTCAATCTCATGTATGATTGAAGTTCAAATTAAATTTGATTTTCTTTCAGATATTGTTAAGAAATTGTTAATTGTTAACAATAGAAGGCAAGAATCATCTTATTTTCAATACTAATTATAAAATTAAAAGAATATTACATCATAATATCATACAGAACATCAAGCAACTAACCTCAAAAAGTGGATCGGAAACCAATATATGATAGTAAGATTTGATTGTCTGTTTATAAAATTTAAGGTCAGTACTTTCAACTAGCAATGCTGGACCTGGTCGGAACATTTCTGTCAAGGCTTGCTGTGTTTTCTCTAAAAATAAATATAACAACAACACATATCATAAACAGATTAATGCCCCCGGAAACTTATCTAAAGTAAAGGAACATTATCTTTTACTTTCTGTCACAAGAATAAAGATTATTTTCCCAGTTTACTCAATTAATTCAAGAGGCATCCGTGAATATTTGATGAATTGACAAACCATTTCCATACACAACAACTTATGAACTGTTTTCAAATCCAAGTGCATGTATTTTATTGTCAAACTTGCAATTGCTCGTGAAAGGTCTTATTGATCAAGGTTTTGGCCGTGTTTTGTGTTTTTGTTGTTACATGTGGTACGTTGAACCTTCTGAGCTGAAGATCTAGTTTTAATCGTCTTAAAAGAAAGTACACCTATGGAATCCTTCAATAACAGTGTTGTAAATCGGACAGGTTTATAAATATATCAATGTGAAAAATTATTTCAATTTAGATCGACCTCAATTCAAGGTATTCAAAATATTGCATTTAGCGTGCCACCAAAATTAGTCAAAAATCCTTCATGAATAACAAACATTGTAGCACTACCATGTGACTTTTCGAGTACTGTTCACGCAGATTTTTCGCCGGTTCAAGTATGTTCTACTTATAACTTTGCTGTTACTCAACTGACTTTGTTGTTCAGCTTAGGCGTATAGTACCGTATTTGTATAAGCCTATGTGAATCAAACTTTTGAAAACCCCTGAGTGGTTTTTGAGAACAATCGAGTAAAGGTAGTCGGGCTACACACTCATTTACCACAACAAGCGATTTTATGCATTTCACTAGATACATTGGACATAGTAAATCTGTAAGATTTAGCATTTATTTTTGTAAAAAAAAACCCTGAAAAGTACGGACTTGCTAAAATTTTTTCAAAAATGGGGTGTCCTTCTCTCGGCCTGCCTAAAAAAAAACTTATCTTTTTAAAAACCATTCAGGTTTTTAACCCGGAAATTTTTGATAAAACCCTAATCAGTAAAAATCTGTATGTACCGTACCCGCAAAGTCACGTGGTATCAACACAAAGTCATGCAGCAGTCACGCCAAACTATTCAATGTTATAATACTTTGGATGTATTACTTTAACTGTTTGGGCATAAAATTGCTAAACTTTCGCGCGACACAATGTCATGATATCCGATTATCCGGTACATTTATGCTAAATGATTATAATCCTGAAAATTACTGATCTGGCACGACCATCAGTACACTTTAATGAAAACGTCATATTATGTGACCTTGAACTCTGAGCGCGACACCTGACTCTCGCGCAACATGGTGTCAAGATGTCTAACATATTAATAGCAAATTATTTTTAAATCCACCTAGGAGTGACAAAACTGTTGCCATGACATCACAAGCCATGCACTTTAATATAAATTCCATATCGTAAATTTGGAGTAACAAGTGTGACATTGGTTTTTAAGCAAGAGACCTTACTCTACACATACGCTGCGAATTGTCTTCTTTATTTATTTATTTCACGGTCCATCAAAAATTTGACCGGACACGGCTATCAATGATCTTTTATGAAAATTCATATCATGACTTTATCTATCAAAAGAAACTGTGAGTTTTTTAAGGTAGAGATATATTCTTGTGCACGACATATCATCATCATGTCAAACAATTAACGCATAGATATTTTATCAATCAAGGAATGACATAGTTGAGTTTTTACCGGCAACGACTCAAGGTACGATTTTACGGCAAGGTACAGCGTTCTGCGCGTTACAATCAACTTCATATCGTTGCAGAATTATTTATTTTAAAATGCATCTATAAGTGACAAAATTATAAATCGTCTTAAAGTGTGGACAGACGGACGAGAGGAAGAACGGACGCTGTCCAAACTATATGCGCTTCCCAAAATACTAGTGAATAAAATAATGGCACTGACGTTTTTAAACAATGTATCGTTATATGATATTTCATTTATCCACGACTGTAGTACAGATATAATACTAAATAAGCTGTAATTATTCTAATATCATACAAATTTTAAACAAACCAACCGATTGAATAGACAGTATAGAAATATAGAAGCGTTTAGCAACCTTTGGAATATTTTATAACTAATATATTTTTTATCATTAAAGTTCATTCATTTTTCTTTTTGTTAAAACATGTTTTGTCAAAATCGATATATGTAAAATTGTACTACATTTTAATACATACCATCACACTCTTTCAAAGCCATATCCTTTGTGTGCCTTAAATGGATCTCTGAAGGCTTTATCTTGTCTTGTGCCAACATCTTAGATGTACCCAAATCGTCATATATTATCTTTTTGTCACCAGTGAGGTGTGTTTCTGAAAACTGTATTTTGTCACCCTTAATATCCGCATCTACAACTTCTTCCCTTTGTTTTGTCTCCTCTTGAGACAAAGGAACATTGTCTTTAAAACCGCTTTGCCATTCTTTCAACAAACGTTCATCATCTTTACAGAGCTGTTGTAAATAATGCAAATGGCCATAAACAGCTTTTGACTGATTCTTCATCTGCTCCACCGGTACTTTTAACTCAAAGCGTGTTTCGAGATTCTGAACTATGTCATTTAAAAGAGCGACACTGAAAAGAAATTATATCAGTTGTTCAACAACAATATTTCTTTAGGTTAGTATGGTTACATTCAAGCAGTATTTTTCATTTCCACCTTGAGATCTCAAGTTAATTAATTGAACATGCTATGACAATTACATCTATATACAGAGGCAGTAAGTGCATTTTATTTTCACATAATTCTGTATAATTTGAAAAAGTCATATACATATTTAATCGGGAAATAACTTTTTCTCGATAATACATGTATTACAAATGATTTCTGAAAATTTCTACCGGTATAAAAGAATACTATTTGTATATATTCATATTTACCCTCATGGATAATATAATATTAACTAGAAAAATTCAAAAGGACAAACATGGCAAATTAGCTTAAAGTTGAGACATAATAAGCAAGAATTATATGTTATGTATTTATGATTTATAAAATACATTTATGCATCCATAACATTAAATTCAAAGCAGAATGTGCAAAAACTGAACTTTTAAAATGTGTATTGTACCATCATTTACTAAAATTCTATGTGCATATTAAAGTGCACCAATAACATCTTACAAACATGAATTGTTGGAATATGCTATTTGTGATCAGTAAATAGACTACAATTACTTGCATGCTTTAATACCTAATCAATTTTGAGTGTAAAATGATCTCATAATCAAAGACAGCTTGTTAATAAGTCGTGTTTTCTTTAAATGTTTCTATTTACAGGTACACCGATATTTGGCAGTAATAACCAACTTATAAGTTCATGTTTGATTGAAATCATACAAGAAGTGTGAGACAGGGCATATACATGTATAACATATCATCGTTTTATAAGGATATATTGTTACTACCTAAATATAGCGTTCCTTCAAAACAAAATAATATAAAAACAGGGACGTTAGTGGACGACTGGTTTATGTCGTAGACTTGAAAACATTTGCCCCTCAACGCTCTAGGTTCAAATCCTGCTATGGACTTTGGATTTTTTCCAGTGAGGAACCTATCCAGCTAGCTGACGGCGGTGAGGAAGCTATCCAGCTAGCTTACAGAATGTCTGTGTTTCTACTCCACTCGTATCTTGATATAATGCAAAAAGGACAACTAAAATTTTCCTCCACCAGTAAAGCTGGACAATTGCAGCATCTTGTTTTAACAAAACATTATCATGTATGTATATACAATTAAATTTTCTTTTATATCGATAACTTATAATTGTGTGTGTTAGTTTGTGTTTCAACAAAATAACAAACATTTCACATTAATCATGATATTCAATGGTACTTACGTTTTCTCTAATTTTGTTTCCGTTGTTTCAAATTGTATTCTATAGATGTCGATAAGTTCATGTGCAATATACGGAAACATGTATATACATGTAGTTTATACAGTGCTGTTATTTTAATGCAATCACTATACATCGTTATTTTCAACTGAATGTGAACTGCATGAAATTAACAATTTGATAGACTAGATGGTAAAAATGTGTTCACATATAGATATATAAGTTTGCGTTTAATTTATCTCTTTACTACAATATGGTAACAGTTAAGACAATACAACATCTTCATGTACATGTCAACATTTATAAAATAGTATGACATTTTCTATCGAAAAAGGGGTTCCAATTTTGAACAAAAGTAACATCTCACTCCTGGCAATATTTCTTTGAAACAATTAAAATCAAGTTGACGTTTTTTGCAGGTCACTTAGGAATACGATAATACGATGGGTATAATTGTTTTTTTTTGTTTTTGTTTTTTTTTGGTTAAACATAAAACCAGCAAAAAAAAAAAAAAAATAAAAAAAAAAAAAAATAAGACAAAAAAAAAAAAATAAAAAATAAAAAAATAAAAAAAAAAAAAAAAAAATAATAGGATCAAATGTAAAAAAAAAAAAAAAAAAAAAAAAAAAAAAAAAAAAAAAAAAAAAAAAAAAAAAAAAAAAAAAAAAAAAAAAAAAAAAAAAAAAAAATGGGGTTGGGAAAAAAACCTCCTAAAATATTTTGTAATGGTAAAACAGCTTTTTCGGGTTATAACACACCACACAAAAAGGCAAATTTGTAAAACTTTGTATATGATAGCCAGAAAAGTCATCTTTTCATATCTGATCTTAAAGCTGCATGCCTCCAGATAAGGGCAAAATATTTAAAGGGAGACACAGGCAAAATTTTCATTTTTTCGTTTTGATTTTTTCATTCATTAATCTGTTAATGTCCTCAAAATTAATACACTAGGCAGTCACAGGAACAAAACTTTTCTCCTCATAAAGAATAAAATGGTGGTTTCCTAACCTGGCCCACGTTGGTCAGGTTAGAGCGTTAAGATTCCAAAATAGTTGTCACAGCGTACCATGGATGCGTTTAAGAACATGTCAAATGAATGATTTAGGTTTGTTTCAACTATACTATATCCACAATATCTGTTTTTGTGATTTTCAGGGTTTGTTCAAGTCACATGACTTGTTTTAAAACTACTTGGTGATTCTGTCGGCGTCTTATTTTTTTCAACATTATATTGATATATTTACGCTTCAAATCCAAAATATACAGAATTTATACAGAATTTTTTGCTGGGACTTTTACAATTGTCATTTCAGCATGATTCGAGTACATGAGATAATTTTGATATTTTTGCCATTAATTTGCCTGAGTATCCCTTTAAAGGGAACCAAAAAAAATTACTAAGTCACATTCTGAATTTAAGCAAACATTAACATGGTAAGTGCGATTAATGAGTGATTTTGCATTATACATTAGATATTTTCTTCTGCGTAGCTATAACAGTTATTGCTATTCTTGCATATTTTCTACGTGGATTGTAAGTTCGTAAACAATGTCTAAATTACATTCTTTGTTCTTTTTACAACATTTTGATTTTAATTAATTTTCAAAATTTTTCATAAAAAATTAACCAATGGATCTGGGAGGCCACTCTGCTGTTAAAGGAGTTTTTACCCGTAACTGATTTTGTATTTCCAATTCCAAGGTCAAAGAAAGGTGTACTTAAAAGGTACCGCAGCTATAAATCCATTATTGTACTTTCTTGACTGTAGAAATCGTTGAATGTTATTTCGAAGGGGGAATCTTTTGGTTTACATATTTATGCCAAAAAATGTTATAAAAACATATTAATGCTGTCACGAGTATGTTATATCGCGAGATTGAGGTCAAGCGCGAATTTTGGCCACAGGCATTGTCAATAAAAATCTTGTTTAAGTTTGTATTCGACATAGCTAAAAATTAACAGGGGTCAAACGTTTAGCCGTGCGATACTTTTTTAAGCGAGGTTAAATCTTGCAATACGGAATAATGGCGGCGGAAAGTGACAAATAATGTGGGTAAGAATCAGTTAGCTTCGAATATTTGTTGTATGTTGCTCGAAAAGTATAGTGCATGCTGAGCTGAAGATATATTATGATGGTCACAATAAAAGAAACAATTTCATTGTAAGGAGAAAGTGATGAATTGGCTACTGCCATCTGACATACTCATAAAAAGAAAACAATAACAGACTTTATGGAACAGATATTTGATTAGTTATTATAGCAACAACATGTTTTCTATAAATTGCAAAACAGAATTACACGAAAAGTTTTAACTATCTATTTGGCATATATCTATAATATTTCCGATAAACTGTACTCAAACATTTTGGTTCTTTACGAATTTTTTTTGCGAAATTCAGTTTCCTTTATTAAACAGTTAACTATATCATACTTAAATTATGCGTATAGTCATAGCATTCGAAAATGGTTATAAACTGTATAAGGAAGGACAGTTTTATGATGCATTAGAATTTAGAAGACAATCTAAATCGACAAGTTTTTATGCCACCGCAGCATCTGCGATGCGGTGGCATATAGCGATTCACCTTTTGTGTGTGTGTGTGTGTGTTGGTGTGTGCGTGCGTGTGTGCGTTTCTAAAGATTATAAAGTGAACTTAAAAAATCTTCTAATGAAAAACCACTAGTCCAATTTCAACCAAACTTGGCAAAATTGATCCTTGGGTGATTGGCTTTCAAAGTTGTTCAAAAATTTTTATTCCATGCAGAAATCTGTTGCCCATTGGAAACCTAAAAGGAATTTATAAGAATACATTAAAAAAATTCTTTTCTTGCTAAAACCCATAAGGCCTAGGAGCTTAGATATTTTGCATTTAAGCATTTGTCTTGGTAGACTCTACCAAGATTGCTTCCAAATTTTAGCCTGGGGTTCAAAAATTGGCCCCGCCCCAAGGATCCCAGTGATTTTCACTATATGTACATATACGTAAAAAACTTTAAAATACCTTCTTGTAAAGACCCCAAAAGGGCGCCTATCAGCTTAAGATAATTTTGCATAAGGCATTGTTGGTAGGACCCCTTACCAAGATTGTTCAAATTATAGCCCCCTTGGTGTCCAAAAAATCAGCCCCTGCCCCCGGGGTCATTGTTTTTCACTATATGTACAAATACTAAAAAACTTTAAAATACCTTCTACGTAAAGACCAAAAGGCCTTACAGCTATAAGAATATTTTTGCATAAGGCATTGTCTTGGATTAGACCTTCTTCCCACGATTGTATCAAATTATAGCCCTGGGGGTCAAAATCGGCCCCGCCCCGGCGGTCATTGGTTTTCCTTATATGTATATAGCTAAAATCTTATAGTAAAAACTTTAAAAATAATCTTCCAGCAATTGACAAAATGCTAGAGGTTAAGCATAACTTACAATGAAACCATTGTTGTAGGTGAACCTCTAGCAAGATAGTTCAATTATAGCCCCTGGGTCAAAATTGCCCCCCGGCCCGGGGTCATTGCATTTTCAATATATCATATAGTAAAAAATCACAAAAATCTTATTGTACTGAAGGTAAAGCTCTTAAAGCTTTAATATTTGTTAAATGATATCATCTATAAGTACTCTACCAAAGTTGTTCAAATTTTGCCTCTAGTGTCAAGATTAGCCTCGCCTCGGGGGCCATAGGCTTTCCTTATATGTATATATTAAAAACTTAAAAAATCTTCTTCTGTGAATTGACAAAGGCTAGAGATTAAATATATGGCATGAGACTTTGCGAAGTGAACATCTACCAAGATTGTTCAAATTATAGCCCTGGGTCAAAATTGCCCCCGCCCCGGGGGTATTGATTTTCATTAAGTACATATAGTAAAAACTTAAAATACCTTCATGTAAAGACCCAAAACGCCTAGAGCTTAAATATTTTGCAGAAGGCATTGTCTGGTAGACCTCTACGCAGATTATTCAAATTATAGCCTTGCTTGGGGTCAAAATTGGCCCCGCCCCGGGGGTCATTGGTTTACATATAGTAAAAAAATAAGAACTAATTTTGTCTGAAGGTACAAGGCATAGAGCTTTGATGTTTGCTATATAATTTTCATCTATAGATCCTCTACCAAAGTTGTTAAATTTTTTCACCAGGTGTCAAAACTGGCCCTGCCCGGGGGAAGTGATTCTCATTATGTACACATAGTGAAAACAGAAAATAAAACAAATGTTTTCTAAATGGGAGAAAGCTACAGCTGAGATATTTGACTTCAAATGATGTTTAATGGACCTGTATCATGATTGTTTTGAATTAAACCCTTGGGTCAAAATTTTGCCTTGCCTAAGGGGACAGTGACCTACTTTCTTGTCCTTTGATGTACAGCAATGACATTTTGACCATGTTCACAGTTTTAGTTGTAAAATTAAACTTTGATATCAGGTGACCTAGATTTTGATGATGTGACCTACTTTCTTGTCCTTTGATGTACAGCTATGAAATTTGAACCATGTGCACAGATTAAGATGTAAAGTGAACTTTGATATCAGCTGACCTAGATTTTGACTAACTGTGTTGTCCTTTGATGTAGGCTTTGTGAAATATGACCTTCACCACCAAATACACCAGACTCAAGTGCATTGATATATTCCTACCCTGATCTTTTATTGGATTAACAATAGATTTAACCACTAATCTGATAATAAGAATTAGATAGGTCAGGGATCTATGCATACTGACAATCTTCAATTGTATAGAAACAACAAAATCTGTTCCTACACTACTATTTAGTGTTGTATTAATGCGTGTGTGTGAAAAAAATAGCTTAGCTCTAGACATAGCTTCATACTGAAGATTGCGGAGTGTTTGTGACATACCCAATTTAACGAAGGGTCCGTTAGGCAAAGATGGCAGTGCATATTGGCCAACTGTATGTTTTCCCTGATTGTGGAAGATCTTGCCCGAGTTTAGTCTTAATAACACCCATATATTCGTTACAAATGTAGTATGATATTTAGCAGGGAAGGACGTTTTTACCTGGGAATTCAAGTAGTCAGCTAGAAAACAATATACATGATTAAGATTTTATAATGTTTTTATAAGAAAGATTTATAAAAACACCAACCAGAGATTTTATTTATTTCAAGCGTATAAAGTGAATTAACATACATGTATATAGCATTTAAATTAAAAAATATTCGAAGAGCAATCGGAGTTGTAGCAACACTATTTTTTAAATTCGAGCTGCAAACTCGATTCTATCCGAACAAATTCTTGTGTCAGACATGAACAATGGGAGTGAAATATAGATTGTATAATTAAATTTCTGTTTTTCACTCCGATAAACTGCATCTAATTCGAAGTAATTTTTCATAAATAAAATTGAAAGGAGAGAAAAAGTGTACAGAATGAATAAAAACATTTATCAGGTATCAGAGATCAAAGGGAAGGTAATTCTTGAAAAAAGTGTAAGCATGGTAAATGCCGTCAGTAATCAGTTACCCCCTCCTTCTCTCCCCCACTCCCTGAAAAAAAATTAAAAAGATAATGTATAGTATATAATATTTTGAACTAGCTATTAGCACTGTCAAATTTTCGGACGTTTTTGCATACAGTCATCTTATCGCACCATTGCGTAAAAATATATCTTAGCACAGTAATTTTTGCTATGCAGCTCAAAAAAGTATTTACATAAGTTTTAAGAAGAAACAACATCCAACATTCACAATATTGGCTTTCATTCTATAACTTCGTCATGGACACAAAATTTAAATTCCCTCCCAAATTTTCCCCAAAAACATTTTTTCTCCCCAAGGGGAAGCAATTTCGCCGCCATTAGTTCTGCCCGTCTTTCTGCCTGGGGCCTCTCAGGGGACATGATAATGGGTTAGGGAAAAAAAATTTAGGTAACTGTTCTTTCTTTTTGATGTATTTTTTTCAAAATTTTTTATTGCATTTTTTTTTTATGGGGCTAAAAAAAAAAAAAGAACAGTGAGTAGCCAATTATTGCTGTTCGTTTAGAAGGGTTTCTGTCCTTTCTACCCGCTCTCACAGGACAGTAATAATGTGGCTAGAGAGACAATAGGTAAGGTATTCTTTCTCTTTGATGTCATTCATTCCGTATTGCTTTTATGTGGCTATTTTGGAGGTATTGCCCTTTGTTCATTTTATACGCCCATTTCAAAATTGGGTCGTATTATAGTTTCCCCCCTGGCGGGCGGATGAGCGGATGGGTGGGCGGACGGCTGGGCTAGCGGCGTCCAATATTTGTCCGGAGCATATCTTCTTCATCCATGGAGGAATTTTATTGAAACTTTATAAAAATGTTCACCACTGTGAGCAGCCGTGTCGCGCGCAGTGGTTTAATTAGGCCTCTAGGTTCAAAGTCAAGGTCACACTTAGAGGTCATTGCTTGTCCGGAGCAAAACCTCTACATGCATAGTGGGATTTCAAAATAACATGGCACAAATGTTCACTATTGTCAGTCGGAGTGTCGCGTGCAAAATTCATGTCCCTGCGGCCAAGGTCAAGGTCACACATAGGGGTCAAAGTTCAGATACAAATATGAAAATGTGTATCGGGACCATTTAGTTATAATTCTGTGTGGGATTAAAACACAAATGGTCCTTATCATGACTACTGGTGTGAAACATGTAATTCAGATTAACATATGCAAGGTCAATGTCACTAAAGATGATTGCCAAGGTCGATAAAGATGATAAAATATAGAGGTTTTGCCCAGAACATATCTCCTACACATATAAAGGGATTCTTATGAAACTTCATAGAAATGTTCACCACTATGAGAAGCATGAACTAGACCTCTAGGTCAGAGGTCAAGGTCACACTTAGAGGTCATAGAAAAATGCTTGTCCGGAGCAAAACTACTCAAAACATAAACACTTGTCCGGAGCAAAACTTTTACATGCATAGAAGGATTTCAATATACCTTGTTACAAACGTTCACTATTGTGAGGCGGATTGTTGCATTCGGAACATTTAGTCGTTATTTCATTTATTGAAGGATTGAAACACCAAAGTTCATTCTCTATTACTTTGGGGAAAAATGTGATTTTTGTTAATATTTTGGCAAGGTTTTTAGGTCACTAAAAATGTAGTCAAGGTTAAACATTAAAATTTTAAATTTTATAAAAAATTTTTCCCCACTATGGGAACCCATTTTAAAACTTTGCATAAACCAGGTCTCTAGGTAAAAGGTTTGGGTCACAGTTATAGTTCATTGAAAAAATCCTTGTAAGGAGCCAAACTTCTACATTCATCGGGGGATTTCATTGTAACTTGGCACAAAAGTTCACCATTGTGAGGCTTATTTGGGGGGCTCCAATCCAGGTTCTGTTTTTACAAATAAAGTTTCAAAAGAGGGGTTTAAAAGCTTTTTGTATCTTTTATTGAGGGAATTGAACCACAAATTTGTTTAACAAAATTGATAAAAATTTCTTTTTACCACATTTGTGATCAAGTGACGAGCTTATTTTGCAACAATGTTCCCGTGTTTTAAATGACAGTTGCATAAACAATTTGAAAATATAATGTGTAACACAAGTGATAACTCTTAAGAAAGCAAAATAAGTTAGCTTTATTTTCCTTTTTTCCCAAAAATAAAGTTCATGGGCAAAATTTTTTTACAAAATTTTATCAATAAAATTTAAAAAGATTAAAAATTAATTTTTTTGGGTCATTTCTTAAAAGAAATTTTTAAATTTTTATACGTTTAGCAAAAAATTTTAGCGAACACCAGAAAAAAGGTTGAAGGACAAAACCTAATAGCTTGTCTGCGGATTATAATGGATTTTAATTTCGGATTTAACTTTATCGACGAACAAATGCAAAACTATGCAATTCTAACGTTTTTAACGTAAGTTTTTGAAACAAAAAACCATTGGAGATATTGTCTAGCCGCTTTGGTTAAATAAGGTAAATGTCCGTTTCCTCAGAATGTATAAAACTATTCATTTCAAATTTGGAAAACATATTTATTGTAACACAACGACGCCATTTTAAATAGTTACATAATTCTAAAATTATGTTATGCAATTTAAAGTTATGCATTTTTTTCAACTTAGATTTTTAGCCCTGGTTTAACTTTTTTGTTTAGATGCATTTCTTAGAAGCAATCATAGTCATTCACCTCAAACTTGATACACTTATTTACATTCAAAATATAGCTTTTCCATTTTCAAAAATTGCAGAAAATTTTTCAAAAAATGTTTTTTGCAAAGTTATCCCCCTTTTTTCTTTATTTTTATTTTGTTTCTAGACAAAATTTTACCAAAAATTTTAAAATTTAAATTTAAATTTTTCAAATTTAAAAAAACCTTTTTTTCATTTTTTACTTGGCATATTTTTCTAAAAAAAATTTTTTTAAGTTAAATATGTACCCTTTTGGATTTTTGAAATTTTTTTGGAAATACTTATTTTTTTTAATGGTTAAAGTTTTCAAACAGTTTTTAAAAATATTACCATTCCCATTTTGAAGATTTGTTCTTTTTCCCAATTTAAAAAATTGCACTTTAAGTTTTGAAGTTTAATCCAAAAAACCCAGTTTTGCTGAATTTTTTCCCCTTTTTTTTAAATTATTTGGGACTTGTGCCTTTGGCTAAAAAAAAATTAAGGTATTCACTTCAAACTTGAAATAACTTGTTGACTATTAGGTGAATGTATTTTTCTTTGAAAAAAGCATGTTTGCAAGATTGATGGCCTTTTCTGTGATGAATGTTTTCTTCGACTATCCAGCATTTGAAAATTTTGGAATTTGCGTTGTGGCGGATAGGTCTTATTTTAAACTTTGCCTTGTATATTTAAATTTGGAGCACAAAAAACTAAGAAGTTTGCTACTTGTCTTTTGATATTATTGTTAAATGGGAACTATTCTTACGGTTACAACCAATCAGGTTTCAATAATTCTAAACTAGATACTTTTTTAAAAAGTCTTCGGTATCTTATGTAAGAATTTTTAAGATATGTTTAAACCTTTTTACCCTTTTCTCTGTCGAAAAAATATAAATACTGATTTATTAGCAGTGACACATTTTTTAACTTAAGTGTTTATCTTCCCTTTGACCTTGAGATTGGATAGACAAAACCTACCAGGCTTTTAAATAATTCACAACACTGTTTCGTGCCAGGCTATTATGGAATGAATGACATCAAAAAACCGATTATGTCGATTTGATATTCTGCATCAGATAATCTTTTGAAAGTGTTTGTGATTATCTAAAGTCAATATACTGATTATCAAATTGATTGAATTTACATATGATTAAAGTTTGAATAGGCCATGAAACTTGTAAAACTCTTTAATTTAATTAAAAAGTAAAAATATATGATATTGCTAATCATCGCATTCCGTTTTATGACGCAATCAAATCAGAAATTTGCCATAATATTGTAATCAGTGTGTATTTGTTTTGAAAATTTTTGGTTCATCTTTGGGCACATCCAAACTGAATTTTAAATTTTTTCAAGATATTATTTTTTGGACAGGAATTTCAGATAGCCGTAAAGTAGCTTTTTTAAATTGCATACTATTCAGTTATTTTTTTTTCATTTTGTCCCCATAAAAGGGCACAAATTTACAACAGTTTTTTTTTTTTGGGATTTTTAACAATTTTTCACAAATCAAATTTTTTTTTCCACTAATTTTTGGTTAAATTTGTTTAAAAAAAATTTATTTTATCCATTTTGAAAAAAAAATTTTTATTTTTTACCTAGTTTTGTTTTTCCTTTTTTCCCAAAAAAAAAAACACTTTTTTTCTTAATTTATAAACTAAAAATTAGACTATGCTGTCTTTTTTTAAATTAAGAAGTGATTTTTTTTATTGAAAAATTAGAAAAAAAATTTAAAGATAAAACTTTTACTTTTTTACTAATCTGGGTAACGCCAAATTATGCAAACTATCTTCCATGTAATATGCGAAGTCTTCAATTGTCCAAAACATGGCACCAACAAGGCTTCGTACTTCTTCCATTTTCACATATAATTTATCCTAAATGATATATTATTTGTTCATATCATGTTATTCATATAGTTATTTTTGTTTTTGTTTTACATTATTTCATTTAATCATTATCATGCAATTTTTAATATCATTAGCATGTTATGTTTTCTATATTAATAGAACAAAACGATTGGATGAACTGAGTCGTTTACACGTTCTTAAATATGTAGCACATAACCAAATTAGTATGTTATGTTTTTTATCATACAAAAGAATTACTTAATTGTTCGAAAAAAACAGGTGAAAGAAATATACACATGTATATGTAATTTGTTGATGAACATTTATTGCGATTAATCAATTAATTGTCATGATAAATGTCAGATAGTATTTCAATAGTAGGCATATTAACTGTGAAACTACAACAAACATTTATTCAAACATAAATACATTATACATTCTTCTGTATGAACATGTATTCCACTTCTAACCGTGTTACTTTGATAATAGAACAAAATCAGTATAGCTTTCAATACATTGATGTATACAGACTAAATGCCATCGATGTCATATATTAATTTTCTTACTTTAAGCGATGATTGGGAGTTAATCATTATCCACCATTTAATAATCTGCTTAAATAGTAAAATGCTTAGCTTACTACAAGGAGTGATCAAAAAGAATTGCATACAGGTCTGTTGCTCAAAATCCTCGAGAAAATGGCAACATATCAATGCAAAACTGTATAGAGCTGCTCAATACTTACATACTGATATTAAGGGCCAGTTACACAGACGGTCGGTACATAATGATGTTAAGGGCCAGTTACACAGACGGTCGGTCCCCAATCGGTCATTTAATTTTAAATTTACTCGCTGTAATTTTACATATCTCAAGATATAGGTTGCTGCCGGTTATTTGTAAAATATTTCCACCGATCGAGAATTTTAAACATGTTTAAAAAAAGCCTAGTCGGTAATTTTTCACCGATAAAACTTATCATTCCCTAATAGCAGTTGATTGGTGGAAAACAGGTGACCAATAGGTGATATCAGTTTTAAATACGTTGTCATCGGTTCACTCCATAATTTAGCTAAAAAAATACCGATCAATCACAGATTGCTCTGTGTAATTAGGGTGTTAACAGCTATATATAGTGAACAATAACGATTTTGAAATCGAATTCGCATTCTTTAAGTACCGCAGTAAAATTGCTTGGTTAAAACGTTGATAAGAGAAAAGAAATATTGGCTTATTTAAAAGCTTGTTCTAAGTTTAGTTATTCTTTGAAGGAAATATTTGCTAAAAAACTCTGATATTTACAATTCCTCTTTTGTTTTCTATAACACAGCAGACTGAAAACGAAATTTGATTATTTAAGATACGGGCAACAAGCTAGCAGTTTAGTGCAAATTGATTTATGGTGAAATTTTCTCCCCTTAGCAAATGAATATACCAGTGTAAAAAGAAATAAAAAGTGTTCATGGAACAAATATAAGGATATAGCACTGAATACCACTATTAAAACAAATGCCGATTTACCATTTTCATTAAAATATGAACGACATTCTCACGATAATGTCCCAGCTCGTAACTTAGCCCTTTATAAACTAAAAGACTTTCAGAAATTAAAAAGTCTTCGTGGGATGTAGATACTTTACAAGTCTGACGCTTAGATCTACCTTTTTTTCAGTTGGTTAACAGAATGCAAACTTCCCCGGAAAAGGATCAATCAACGAACACTTTTAGGAAATGGAGTATTTCGAGGGAATGGCAAAATTAGTGATAACTTTAATTTAAAACATCCTATTTTATACGAAAGAAGCAAGTAATTGTTTTCGAACACTCCTTGTAGATTTCTCTAAAATTCGATTGGTTTAAATTGAAATCAGATATTGTTCATAAAGTTACGTTTAAAAGGGGTACATATCTTATCAAATAGGTTGTAAGAAAATGTTCAAGTAATGTTACCAAAAATGAGCGATCGCTTTCAATCAACGTAAGACTGGCCAGTTCACAGTACACTAATATAGCATTTAACGAATTCAAGATTGCATGTAACGTATTCTTGTGCAAGTCTCCTTCCGTTTCCACCTAATTTAATATACAAACAAAAATTGGTAAAGAGTTATTGAAGTAATTAAAGATAATCAAGTATTTTACGTAAGTAATAGAAAGTAGTATAGAATCAATAAAAAAAAAGAATAAAAACGTATCTTTCTGGATTTGCCTACAATGTTTTGATGAAAATTTCTTTCAAATAGATTTGATGATATTTGTAAAAAGTCAATATTTGGCTAAGTTAAATAGGAATTGAATCACAATTACCAAATGATTTGTTTTCGAAATAATTGTATTGATTTAGCAAAAATAATAAATATCAGACACTAAAAATTGCGTTTTCTAAAATGATATAGTACAAACTTGGTATGGATTTTATGCATATAATTTAATGTAAAGTAGATGTTTTCAACTGAAATGGCATTTTCGTATTTGAAAAATAATTTTAGATTTCCTTCATACAAAATCTATACTTACTTCCTTCAAATCAGTTGCTGTACTCGCCGAGGATATTGCAGTTGGAATATCTTTTCTTATTTGACTTGTAATTTCTATCTTTTCCGTTTCCACCTAATTTAATATACAAACAAACATTGGTAAAGAGTTATTGAAGTAATTAAAGATAATCAAGTATTTTACGTAAGTAATAGAAAGTAGTATAAAATCAATAAAAAAAAGAATAAAAACGTATCTTTCTGGGATTTGCCTACAATGTTTTGATGAAAATTTCTTTCTAATAGATTTGATGATATTTGTAAAAAGTCAATATTTGGCTAAGTTAAATAGGAATTGAATCACAATTACCAAATGATTTGTTTTCGAAATAATTGTATTGATTTAGCAAAAAAAAAAATATCAGACAATAAAAAATTGCATTTTCTTAAATGATATAATACAAACTTGGTATCGATTTTATGCATATAAGTTAATGTAAAGTAGATGTTTTCATATTTGAAACATAATTTTAGATTTCCTTCATACAAAATCTATACTTACTTCCTTCAAATCAGTTGCTGTACTCGCCGAGGATATTGCAGTTGAAATATCCTTTCTTACTTGACCTGCAATTTCTATCTTTTCCTTACTGCTGTGTTCTTCTTGTTTAACAAGTGTCCCCATCTGCTGTTGCTCTATATCTTTCAATGATAACTCTTTAAAGACTCTCTCGACATATTCGCCGTCTTCGTCTTTAAAAGTTTTAATAATTTCCTTTTCTTTTTTATCGAATTTCGGACTCTGATGATCACTTCTTATTGTTTGCGTATTTTCTTCCGGTAATTCAACTTTGTTGCCGATGCTTGAATCTATTTGTTTCAATATCGACAAGATAAAAAGTCAATTGAAAATTTATCATACGTCATTTCAAGAAGTATAGATTGTGTCAATCGTACTTTTATTATTATTTTTGCTATAGATTCTTTATTGAACTGTCACCTGTCAAACGCATAAGAATCAGTTTAAAAATACAATGTGTTAAAATAACATCATAATAATAAATGAAAGCTAACCGTTAGATTCGTGATTCACGTTTGTCGAGAAATTTGCTTGGATTAATAGATTCGGAGTGTGGAATTCTGATTTCAGTTCTGCTTTCAGTAACTGTAGAAAAGTTTCTAGCTTATTGTTACAGTCTCCCTCGAATGACCCGCTACCATCCGACCCAACTTTTTCAGCTGATAATGATAATGAATGCTTTCTGATATCATCACCGAGAAGTTGTGCGTTGTCACTTTGGTTCGCCATGTCGATATTGTGTTCTTTTAAAACATCTTCGACACATGAGACTGAAATATATAATCAAGAAAGCAGCTCCTACAAAAACATTATTATAATTGAAACTGATGTCAAACAGCAAAATAGTTTGTTCTAATAGTTTGTCAAGTTGTATTGTATTACTTGTTTTTCATGCTATAATCATAGTAGGTCAACGCCATAACTATTGAATATAGGATGTATAACTCTTTCATCAAAGTTGTTTTTTAAGTATCGAGGGTATGAATGATTGGTGGCTCTACCAACGTTAATGCATCATCAGTACCTTGCAAGGTATTTATGGTTATGCAACACTATCACTTTATCGGCCACATAAGCAAGGAGATCGATAATTACATTGTGCGAGAACAACTGTCTTACTTGATTTATCTATGACATTCCAAAATTCGTCTTTATAAATGGTAGTTTCTAAACAAAGCATTTCCTCATGTATGCATTCGGTTAATGCTTCGTTTAAATCTGTTAGTTGCGGTTCTATGAGTCCGTGAGTTTGTTCCCTTATCAAGGCAGCTAGCGCTGTAAAATTAGTACACTCAATATGTAGTTGTATGCATTCGTGTATAACGCCTGTAATTTTCCAGCCTTTCGAAAGAAATCGTTCAAATGTTTTCTTGATTGCCCCCCTCAGTCTTACATATGATTCTGCAGGTATGCTAGATTTGAAATCATTGTCCTCATGAATGACCTCTTCAAACAACTGTTGTAAAACATCAGACATTTTTGCTTCTTCGTCATCACTGACATTTTTTAAATCAAGAAAAATCTTAACACCTGAGGTGAAAAATAACGTATAAGAATATGTATAGTAAGAAAAAGAAACAATAAAAGTATTTGTATAATAAGGTCAAAGAAAAATAAACAAAATAATATATTTTGAAGCTTAAGAATAAAAAAACTTATAGTTAATTGTAATGAAGAGGTGAAGATTATGTTTTTGTATATAGCATTTATAAACACTTACGATATATTGTTTAAAAAAAGTTGTTACTTATATGTTTAGACATGTCTTCTTCAAATATGAGTGCACATATAAACTAGGGTAAACATGGAAGCATTTACCAGGAACTGTATTGATTCTTGAACTCTCACCAAGCATCCTTCTGATTAATTCCCGCGTATCGTCAAATTGTTCCAGCTTTTGTAATATTGATTCCCCAACTGTAAATAATTAGGAAAATGGAATTTTAGACAAAATTATTGTTGAGGGGACAGAATAGTTACTGAAAAATAAAAGACAATTAGCACTATTATGTAAAGCAATTCATAAAATAATACAATTTTGTGTGAGGTCAAGCAACCGCATATGCTTAATCGCGATGATCAGTCTCAACATTTAAAAAATAATTCAATTATCCGCAGTTCTGATCAGAAAAAATTAATTTTGAAATATTTCGAAATCCAGACTAAATATGTGCCGCATGAAATACAATCGATACGTACCATGGTCAAGTTTTTCACTAATATCCATTTCCATCACATAGAAAGCGTGCATTTCTTTAAGCGTTTCATCAAGTGAAAGAGTTGCACTTTCTTAATTTTTGATGACATTGTCTATTTCTCTCTTCACATTAAGATCATCAAGTTTCTCAACAAGTCGAGATATTGTGACTTGAATACCGTCTAGTTTGTCTTCATATTCAGAAACAGATATGTTTGGTTCGTTCATGTGACAAAGCTCATTCCGTCGATTTCGAAGTTGATCAACATCTACCCGCATAGAAGACTTTAAATCACAGTATACTGTTAGAACTGTGCAAAAAAGGGATAAATCCCATGTTGTAAGTACAGTGTCACCGTGGTCTGGAAACAAGATTTTGAACTTTTTCTTAGACATGTTTGATTTTATAATTTCTTGCTTTTTTGTGTCCAAAAATTGCTGAACTGTCCATGGATATGGATCATGATCTTTAGGACTAAGTTCTTTGACACGCTTTAAAAGCAGATGATGGCATGCTTGTGTCCCTCCTTTGTTAAGCATGAGACAAAGCCTACAATGTCGTTCAGTACCGGTCGTTGACATTTTGATCCAGATCTAAAATTTCAGACAACAATGCATAACTAATGATCAATAATGAATTATTTAAATAAGAGGAAAATGGAATTAATTTAAATCACAATTTGTTATATTTGTGTTAAAAGATTACTTAAGCCATCATACCATTTGATTCACATTCATAAGACAAGTGGACGTAATAAACGACATATATATATATATATATATATGATATATATATATATATATATATATTATATATATATATATATATATATATATATATATATATATATATATAGATATATAATATATATATATTAAGCTGGTGTATACCATGCTGTGCCTAATACAACAGCTACAGACTTTGTGACCTCCTTATTTAAAAGAAATGAACGTTTAATTCCAATTTAAGACTTCCAATAAACTTTATACAGGAAATTCAACATTTTATAATTAATGGCCGTAAAAATCGCTACCAGCAACGCGGGTGTACTACTTCTACATGTGTATTATAAAAATATAGGTTGCACACTGTTGGTAGACGAAATATCTTTATTTACAGTAGACCAAAGTTCTGTAATTTATTAGCGACTTTGTGTCTGTAAATTGATAAGTTGCTTCCTACCTCCGGCTTACGCACAACTTAAATATTAACATGAATTGGTAACAAATTGAATCTGGGAATACCTGCAGATGTGTCTACGGCGGACACTTTAATGCCATTTCACGAAAAGCGGCGGGATAAATTGCCCAAAACTCGAAGCAAAACCATAAAACTATAGTCATGATCTTTTAATATTGTGATTAATATAAGTAAGGATTTCACTGCTTTCTAATAAGTTAGAAAATTGCAAGGTGTATGTCTACTAAATATGAAAGAAATCTGTTAGTAAATGAAGCAAATGTGTGAGCAAATGTGTAAAAATCTATTTTAAGCCCTGGTAACCTTGACCAAGCTGACCCCTAACTACATCCAAAGATTGAAGATACCTGTCTATCGATAAAGGTAACACCTGTCAAGGTGTAAAAAGTATAATATTTTTGGCATAAGTGATCTTGACCTTGACCAAAATTGACCCGTAACTTTACCCAAAAGAAGTCAACCTCCCTAGGCATGCCCGACTTAAACATGAATTCAAAAATAAAGGCTGTTTTGGCTTAAAAGTATAAAAATAATTACAACAGTCACATTGGAATATACATGAACCATACCAGGCCCTTTTTTCAAAGTGAAACAAAGATAACAGCCGGGAAAAGATACAAGACACAGTTATATAACTTGCCAATATCATAAATTTTGTATTGATAAGTAAGTGTGAAGTCATATGTTTAGATAACATTTAGGACACATCCAACTTGACGGTTTACGTTAACTAACCACATCCTTTTCCAAATGCTGAAAAAAGGAAGCCATATTTATGTATCTCGCCAAGAATACAGTGTATGCATTTCATATTGATAAGTGAATATGTAAAGAATGAAGACATTGAAACAGGTATAACTTAAGATAATTTCAACTTGCGATGAAGGTTAACCTTATACGGACAAACGGACAGGCGGACGATCCAATTACTATATGCAAAGTGGAATAAAATTATTCTGCCTCTAGAACTTCGATACTTTAAATAATCAACAAGGTGTTCAATAAAGTGTTGTAATGATAGATAATGTAAAAACGATCGTATTTCATTAATAAGTTTTAACATCTATGAAAATATATCAATTATAATGAATGAATAGCTTTCGCGTCATTAAAGAGGTAACCTGACCCGAGACTCTAGCAATTTATGTTTGTCCAATATAATACAAAATATTGATTGAAAATTTGACATTGTTCAAATTATTACCATTTGAAATACATCAAAATAGACATTGCCTTTATTGATTTGATTTAGGGATCAAATAAAACCTTAAAATGTTGATCTAACTAAAATATGTACAGCTTAACATTGTTTGTTGTTTTTTTACGAACACAATTCAATATTTAAAATTTAACGTTTCTCGTTAAGATTCAATAAATTATAACTATGGAATAACAGTGGGCGCTTTGAACTCCTTTTGAAATCTTCTTTGATTTGGTAGGTTAAACAAATTGTGCGGGTTCTATTAATATCAAATTAATTTCGTTATATTTAATTTATAATAGTAAATTAGATTTAACAACACTCATTTATTTCAAAGCAGTGCTTATAATGTGTGACTTTAAGTGATCAATATAAGTTAGATTTTAACCGCCTCCGTGGTCGAGGGGTTAGAGTCGATGACTTCTAATCCAGTTACCTCTCTGGCGTGGGTTCGATCCCCGGGAGATGCTTTGGTAGTCGGAGGAAGGTAGTCTAGTACTGGTGTAACTCTCCAGGAACGATGGATAGGAAACTACCCGCCTATATGACTGAAATACTGTTGGAAAAAGGCGTAAAATGAAACAAACAAACAAAAATTGAAACTGATTAAATTACTTAAGTCGATTGAATGTCACTAACTGATGATTATTCCGGTTTTCCTTTTATTATGCCCCCACTTCAAAGAAGAGGGGGTATATTGCTTTGCATCTCTGTCGGTCCGTCGGTCCGTAGACCAAATGGTTTCCGACTGATAACTAAAGAATTATTAGGCCTAGGAACTTCAAACTTAGTATGGTGATTGGTCATGACAAGTAGATGACCCCAATTGATTTTGGGGTCAAGGCGTCAAAGGTTAAGGTGACATTGACCTTGTAAATAAAAACAGTTTTTGATCAATAACTAAAGAACGCTTAGGTCAAGGAACTTCAAACTTGGTCTGGTGATTGATCATGACCAGCAGATGACCCCTATTGATTTTGTGGTCAAGGGGTCAAAGGTCAAGGTCACATTGACCTTGTAGGTAAAAACGGTTTCCGATCAATAACTAAAGAACGCTTAGGCCTAGGCACTTCAAACTTGGTATGGTGATTGGTCATGACCAGCAGATGACCCCGATTGATTTTGGGGTCAACGGTCAAGGTCACATTGACCTTGTAGGTAAAAACAGTTCCCGATCAATAACAAAAGAACACTTAGGCCTATGAACTTCAAACTTGGTATGGTGATTGGTCATGACCAGCAGATGACCCCTATTGATTTTGTGGTCAAGGGGTCAAAGGTCAATGTCACATTGACCTGGTAGGTAAAAACGGTTTCCGATCAATTACTAAAGAACGCTTAGGCCTAGGAACTTCAAACTTGGTATGTTGATTGGTCATGTCCAGCAGATGACCCCAATTGATTTTGAGGTCAAGGGGTCAAAGGTCAAGGTCACATTGACCTTGTAGGTAAAAACGGTTTACGATCAATAACTAAGGAACGGTATGGCCTAGGAACTTCAAACCTGGTTTGATGATTGGTCATGACCAGCAGATGACCCCGATTGATTTTGGGGTCAAGGGGTCAATGTCATATTGACCTTGTACTAAATGATGGTTTCTGACTAATAACTCAACAACTCGAGTTGCCTTGGTTGATATTTTTATATTAAACTAAAAATGCTTTTGGTATACACATTTGAAGGTCTTATGTATATAACAACTTGGCTGTCATTAATGAGGCCTACATGATTCATAAAATTTATGCAAGATTTGTAATAACTTAAATTGCTGCACACAACTTATGGGGTCACAATAATTATTACCTTGTGACTAGTCATGACCAGTAGATACTAGATATCCCTTATTAATTGTTTGTTCAATAGGTCAGAAGTCATGCATAATAACCTGATCACATGACTAATTGGCTGCCGATAGGGGGCATACATGTTTTACAAACATATCTTGTGTCAATTTGCGATGGTACTGATACCGCCATTTTGCATACGCCGGGTACGATTTGGGTAAACAATAGTAACTAAAACATGCATAATGTGAGTTCAACGTACTTTGCAGGTTGCACACCATTAAATTGTATTAAGTGTGTGTATTTTAAAATTATTTTCTTTATTGATATTTTATTGTAACTATACGGAATACATAGAATGAAAGAAACGTTTGAAGATATTTAATTGAAAGCGTGAAGTCGTCGCAAAACCTACCATAGGCTTTTACAAATATCATCGGGATATTTGGGTTTTGTTTACATACAATAGTCATGAATATTAATAACATAGACATTTTATTTAACATATTTGTTAAGGAAAGGACATAATCGTTATTTTTATGTAAAAGTGTTACATTGTCGTCAATAACTAGTGCCATTGAATGTCTAGATCTTAAAGGTATAACTTAAAGTGACAATGATTCATAGTATGAAACGAGGGATGATCAAAAATTAACCGGACTTTGTAAATGATTCTTTACCTGTTAAATGAAAATACATAAAAATGCACGGAAAATAAATTGGAATCTATCCCCTGAATGATACACAAAATACCAACAAGAAATATTAACAAAGAAAAAAGTTATGCTTTTATTGGCAGGTACATGTAAAGCAATGCCGCGCACGGTATAACTTTAAAATTGATGTTACCGACGTCACAAGCGTACAGCTTTTTACTCATTTCACGGAGTAGGCCAATACGTGGTACAGTTATGCTGTTGATGCGGCAGATCCACTGCCTATAGATAGATATCAATCTCCTACGCAGTGATCTCCCCTTACAGGATTAGATCTCTGCCATCACAACATTTTCGTCAAGATTTTTTGACGATATGAATTTTTTCAATTTTTATATTTATTTTAAAAAGTAACCGCGGTTTTGCTAATGTTTCAAGACCGATATGTGTTAGATGTGAATTAAAATAAAAAATAATTTTGGAAACATAAATATTATGAAAATAATTTTTAAAAATTTTAATACCGCACCGTTTATTTCCAAAACAATAACCCCTCTCAAAAGAGAATTTATTCAAGTTATTATTAATTTCGACTCTTTACAAAAAATCAATCGACATATTTGAGACCAGAGGTCAAGTTTTAATGTCGCTGTGTATAACAGATAAATCATTTTTTCAACGCATTTATTGGCGTATACGCCATTTTTACACAATCATGTGATAAGACCATCATCACGCGATTTGTGTAAAG